TCAGAGCCGGGCTGGGGAGCCGTCCCTCGTCTCTGGCTTGACTGGAGCAGCACTCTCGCCGAGCCCCGGACTGGCCGCCTCAGCAGGGGCTGGCTCCTGTTACTCGGGTCAGCGCCGCCTGGAGGTCACGCGCGGCACTTCCCACCCACGGGCACGTGTGCGCGAATGCCCGGCACCGGGCGAGTCCGCGGCTTCCCAGGTCCCGGCAACGGGGTCCGGCGGCTGCTCTTACAGCAGAGCCGCAGGGGCAGGAGGCAGCGGCCCTTCACAGGCGCCCCGCCAAACCTCTTAACCCTATACTGGAACCGCCAGGAGCGCGGGGGTGGGGGGCGCAAGGGAGGCCGAGGGAGGCCGGCAGGGGGAGGCAGACCCCAGTAGGCGGCGCCCCATCAGGGCGTGACGGGGAAAGGCCTGCCAGGGCCTGGTGCCCGCCGCGGTCCCCGAAAGCTGGCCTCCCAGCCGGAGGCTCGCTCTGACTCCGCGCATCCCCCAGGCTACCCGGGCAGGCACACGCTCACCGGAGCGCAGGGACCCTGCCTGCTGCCCGGTGGGCGAGGTGGGCGTGCCGTGACTGCCTCAGAAGTGTTGAAGTTCCCTAGATTTTTTAAATTTAAAATTAAGTTAGAATTTCTCTAATGTATAATACCGAATACATCCCAGGTGTTTCTAACTTAGTGAATAAAATCAAAAGTTGCATTAAAAAATTTTTTAACGTTTATTGATTTTTGAGAGAGAGAGAGAGAGGGTGCAAGTGGGGGGAGGGGCAGAGAGAGGGAGACACAGAATGCGAAGCAGCTCCAGGCCGAGCTGTCAGCACAGAGACCGACACGGGGCTTAAACCCACGAACCTCTAGGTCGTGACCTGAGCCGAAGTCGGAGGCCTAACTGACTGAGCCACCCAGGTGCCCCAAAAGTTGCATTTTTTAACAGGTATTTACTTCATTAAAAGCTCACTCCTTTAAGGAAAGGCAAAGACGGTGAGCCACGTGCACGGACCCTGGGAGCTGGTTCCGGGTCACTGACACGATGGGAGGCCTGGGGGGCGCAGGGACGGACAGGGACAGACCCTCTGTGCCGCTGCCACCACACCCGGTTCTGACGTCTCGGGGGAACAAACGCTGGCCCAGGGCCAGGAGGCGCTCCCGCAGCGGACAGCGGCCCAGGAGAGCGCGGGGCCGGAACTACCTCCGCGGCCACAGGGGAGAACGGTCAGCAGCCCCCAGGCCCCGACACTGCAGCAAACATTCCGGACAAGGGCTCAGGACCCAAACGGTCACAGACATCTGCTCGACAGGAAACAAGCCATGAAACGCCCTCTCGTCCCAAGTAAAAACGGTCTGCAGGTCCCGTGTCCCCTTCTGGATTCCCAGTGTGAACCGCTGGTCTTCCTGAGAGCTGGTGACAGGCCGCAGCCTGGTTTGCACCAAGCTCCGCCCGCCCCCCCGGGCCCTGCGTCCCAGGCACCGGGCTTGGGACACACGTGTCCCCAGACAGCTGCGCCCTGTGCTTCCCACTTACCTGGCGGAGCGGCGGATGGACAGACCTGCTTCTGCCCCCCCCTCCCCTCCCCTGCAGGCTGTCCACCTGGCACCTCACTGCCAGTCCCGCTGCAGCCCTGCTTCCCCCGACGCCGAAGCCCCGAGAACGTTGCCCTGCCGACACGGACGGTGGGTAACCCACTGCACCCCAGCCCCCCTCGAGCTCAGAGCTGCAGCTGCAAGGCCCCCCAGTCGCTGGATCGAAAGAGGGACAAACCCCTTCAGCAGAGCGGAGGGGTGGGGTGGGGAGGCAAAGACAGCCCAGCCCAGAGTCAGGGGCCCGCCACCCGGGAGGCAGTGCTCACTCACCGGGTGCTGGGGAGCAGGATGGGGCCCGGAGACCGCCCCCCCCACCCCCACCCCTCTGCCGGTCCCGCACCGGAGCAAAAGCCTTAATCCCCGAGGGGAGGGGAGGGCCCCTCACGCTGTGCCCTGAAGGCCACCAGGGTCCTGGGGGCGCCCCAGGCCTGCTCCCTCCCAAGACTGTTCTCTGCCCCAAGAAGGCAGGCCCTGCGCATGGGAAGTGCCCACAGCAGAGAGGAGGAGGGCGGGCCAACACCTCCCCGGCTCCGCCTGGTCGTATGCTGGGGGCGGGGAGGGCCGGGGTGGGGGCGGGGCCTCGCTGGCTGGAAGGATGTGGCGGCAACCGAACTCCCCCGCCTCGCCCCGACAGCCTGTCAGAACTGTCAGAAGGGGGGGTCCCACTCCTGGCCTGAGACGACCACCCCGGGCCCCCCGCCCCACCACCGCATGCCCCTCGCCATCCGAGCCAGACCCAAGAACACCCGCTTGCCACGTGCACCTGGGTGGCAGCACCAGCCTGCAGCCCTGCACCCGCCTCCCCTCACCTCTCCCTCAGCCTGGACCCCCAGGGCGTCTCGCAGAGGCCCTGGGGGGACCCTGTCTCAGCCCCCTGGCTGGGACCGTGGGACCCACACACACCAGGACCATACGACAGTGGTCCCAGGCACGAGGGTCCTCCCCCCAGACCCCCATCTGGACAAAGACTAGGCACCGCGTCTCCAGCTTTCGCCCAAGACAAAGCGGGTTAAGCCCCGGATCCTGACTGCGGTGAGTGGTGGGCCAGCGCTGGCCTGTGCCTGCCGGCCTCTCCCGCGGGCCCTTCAGGGGCCTGCCTGGGGCGTCCTCTGTCCCTCTCTGGATCGCCAGCCCTTTTCTTTTTGGCTTGCAGGACCCTCCCCTCTAACCTGAATGCTGGTTGTCAATGTTAAAAAAGGAGAATGCTCCTGCCGGGTTACCACCCGCTCGCGGGGCACAGCGTCGCGCACGGGCAGAAATGCTCCCTGCGGGTCTGGCCAGACCCACTGATGCGCCATCTCCGTGTCTTCCCCGAGGCGAGAAAGGTAACCTCCCTCACCTCCTCCTGACCCAGCGTCTCCCCCCACCCCCTTCTCTGCCGCCTGCTCTGATCAGGGGCCTCCTGGGGGCCCGGCCCCATGTCCCACACGCGCAACTTCTTCCAGAAAGGGGTGCTCTGCCGCGGCCGTTTCCAGCAGAGCTCCAGCCCTGAGAGCCCTGGTCTACACTCGCAGGGAGTGTAAGCTGCTACAGGCTTCACCACTTCTGACATGACCGCTGTGTTACCATCAGAGAAAAGCGAGGTAACAAGAAGCAAAATATTTTAAAATGTACCTAATTTTTTTCTACAAGCCATTTTCAAAAACTGTCTAAGCAACTAAAGCCATCGACGTCCTCAAAATGTTCCTTTTCAAACACACGCAACTTAAGAATTCATCATTTATATTAGTGACTTCTGGCATTTACAGGCTGAAGTCCCGGGCACACTTAAATAACAACACAGGACACGGAAACTTGCCATCCATGCGTAAAGCACCGCGTTATTCCAGGAGCCACGCCAGGCAGTGCTTAGCTGAGCGCAGACGGGCTAGCGTCCTCGGGCGGCTGGGCCTGGGGACGGGGACAGGACGGCAGCCACGGGCCCGCCTCCCGCCAGCGGTCACCTCCAGGCCCCACGTGCTTTGACGCCACGCTCTGCAGCTTCGCAAGGTCCAGAGTACAAACGGTACGGAGACCGTAGGTCTTCATGGAGACGGCGGGGCCCACTGTACAAGGACACACGTGACCGGTGCGGAGAACCGCTTCTCCGAGTGCCTCGGGCACGGCACACGGGCAGAACACGACACGCAGCGCTTGACGACCCTGCCTGATGTCACAGAATGCGCGACAGTGACCACTACCCCAAACGTGTTTAAAATTATTTTTTTTTTAATGTTTTTTATTTATTTCTAGGAGAGAGAGAGAGAGACAGCGTGAGCAGGGGAGGGTCAGAGAGAGAGGGAGTCACAGACTGAAACAGGCTCCAGGCTCTGAGCTGGCAGTCAGCACAGAGCCCGACGCGGGGCTCGAACCCACGAACCGCGAGACCATGACCTAAACGAAAGTCGGACGCTCAACTGACTAAGCCACCCAGGCGCCCCCCCCCAAACGTGTTTATTTCCAGGATTTGCCAGATCATCACTTATTACTCATCTGTCTAGACGGACAGACAGGGTTTTATGAGTTACAGATATGTTTCACGGCGGGGGGGGGAAGGGCTCGGTGGGGGTGGGCACTGAGGGGGGCACTCGTGGGAAGAGGGCCGACTGTCGTACAGAAGTGACGGATCACTGGGCTCTGCTCCTGAAGCCAGGACTGCACTGTATGGTAATGAATTCGAGTTTAAGTAAAAGCTTGAAAGAAAATAAAGGAATAAGTGTTAATTTCTGAATCAGAATAAACCTTATAAACCAGTTTCTTCCTTTTACAAACACAGCACTTAGAGCCTTGAGGGGCCAAGGACTGGGCCAAGGTCTCGCCCGGCAACCCTTCCTGTGCACCTCTCTCCTCTGACCCAGCGGCGCTGAGGGGCCACACAGAGGCTCCGCTTCCCGTCAAATCGCCAGAACGTTTCCTGAAACAACAGACTGCAGAGCCGCTCCCCTAGGTCGCCCGCAAGGTTTACAACTTCAGATGCGCTTTTTAAAACTACAGGGCTCTGCTAACTTCAGCCTCAGAGCGTAAACGGTGTGGGGGCCTTCAAACACCCTGGGCTACGAAGAAAGAAACCCTCGCTGAAATGGCTTTAACGTGGCACGTCGACGTGTCCTGCAATGGCCGTGGGCCTTTCCACGGCATGTGCCACGAAGGCAAAGCGTCGCCGACGCAGCGCTCTCCCGTTACGGCCGACATCAATAAGTTTATCACACACCACAACAAAACACAGACGAAAGCTTTCCAGTTCTTTCCCGGAATACCAACGACTAATTCAAGTGAGTGGCTGAAGAAGATTCCAGAAAATGCAAGCGGACCTGAGCGTTCCAGGGCGAGCCTCCTGTTTCACCACCGCGCAGGGGTCACTATGAGCCCCGTGTCACCAGCAAAACCTGTCAACGATTTGAATGTTTTCCTTAAAATGGAAAAGCAGCACACGGTGACATCCGCTTTAGGAAAGAACACATCCGTGGAGCGTGTTTCTATTTTTAATTTTTTTGCTTTGATAAATCAATTGCTTCACAAAAATCCCCTTTAAAGACAACAATCCAAGAAAACATTGTTACAGTGTTTCACATTTTAAAGATTGTCAGTTCGGAGACCAAACACGGCTAAACAGAAGGCAGGTTGCTGGGTTACGTCCGTCACTAACCACCGTGCCCACCGGCCAGGCAGTCGGAGTTTGTCTAGAAGGAAAGGGCCCCGAGCAGCTCGCACAGTAAGGGCCGCACACAAGGGGCCCTGGGACCCGCAGGCACGCGCCCTGCGAGCACGCCGGTGCCACCCGCCGCCCTACTGTGCGTCCTGGAGAGATATTGACACGGACGTCACTACCTGCGGCCAAGAAAGCCGGTCCGTCACCAGGGTCCGTCACCAGCGGCGGCTCGTCGGGGAGCGGCCGGGAGGTGGCAGGACGGGGAGCGACACGCTCACTCCGGGTCTCAGGACACACCCGGAGCGTCCTTCTTGCGCAAAGTCAGGATCGAACCTGCTCAGTGAAAACGAACGCTTGACGGAGTCCCGTCTTCAAAAGTTCTCTTGAGCGTCCGAGGGCTGGAAGATGGGCGCTTATAAAACACAAACCGACAACAGACAAGCTGGGCGGCGCTTTCACGAACCCAGACCGCTGGCCGCGCCAGGGTCGGCTACCAGCACCTCGGTTATTCGCGGGGAGCGCCTGGGGGAGCTCGGGCCTGTCCACAGGCGCCCCGTCCCCGTCCCTGAATGGTCTATCCCAGTCCTCCCAACCCGGTGCGAACTTAGAGCTGAAGGAAACCGGCCCCGGCCGGAGGGAGCACGGGGCGGCCCCGGGCACGAAGGCCGATGGCGGCCAGTGCGGGCGGTGGGACCCCGCGCGGCCCGTCTGTCTCCAAACGGGCCGTCCGTGCAGCCCTCGACTAACAGGCTACCGCGGCTCAGGGACCGTGACCCCGGGGGCGGGGGGAGCGGTGACCTGCCCGTTGAGTCCACGCCTGCCCGAGGAGCAGGGCCACTGGAGGGCGGGGGGGGCGGCTGGCTGGTGTCCACGGCTCCTCGTGTCAGTAAGTCCAACAAAGTCAGAATTCACGTCAAGTTAAAACCGTCTATGAAACCCGTGCAGGTTACTGACGACGTTACATTTTATAAGTGAGGGATGCGACTGGTGCTAAAAAGGTTGTTCTTTCTCCAAAAGATTTCACAGTCCACCTTTTCTTTCTAAAGCTCCTGAAATATTCTCAAAGAAAAGTCTATGTACTTCTTACATAGCCTCCGAAGTGACCTGGGAAAGGCCCTTCTAGAACTGACTGGGACTAACAGACTTGGCGGGGAAATCCGTGCCAGAGGGGTCTGCCCTCGCTCCAGACCCCCTGCAGTGTAACCGTGGTCGGTGACTAACGACGGCTGTCGGGTCTCAAGAACTGCCGACCTTCCCGAACACGAAACACGTGTCTCCCTTCAGCCACACGAGCTCTGGCGGCCCCTTGAAGACGGCACGAAACTATGAAGCAAGATGGCTCCTTCCCCGAGCAAGAGCCCCACTTGCAAATAAATGAAAACAAAGGAGAGAAAACCCAGACCACTCTCTTGGTCTGCCTTGTCGCCGGGAACGGAAGTCCTAAAACTACCCCAAACCTCATTTGTCAGAGGGGGAGGGCTCCAGGAATCCCAAAGCGACCACGTACAAGGAGAAAATACCGACCCCGGGACCGACCAAGGCAGGAGAGGCCGCGGCCACGCCACCCGTCCGTCACCCGGCCCGGAGAGCAGTGTCACTGCAGGGATGTGTGGATTACGTGACAGAGTGGAGCGCTGGCCCCTCACCCTCACTCTAAGCGCTGGGATGGAGGACGTCTTATATTAGTTTATCATAAACATTCTATGCATAACATATGGCTGACTAAAACTTCTAAGACAATACACAGCTAAGTGGCGCAGGCACCATTTAACTGTAGTCGAATTCAAATCAGATGGACGTATGTGCGGGAAGAGCCTGTGACTGCTGGTCACCACTTCACTTAACTCACTAAGTCCTATTAGCAAACACCCTTAGATACACGTTCAGATCAAGTGTGAAATGCGGTCTGAGCATTTACATAGAAACTAAAGTTGGAAGGTATCAAAATCTCATGAAATAGCTGTTTCTCCCGTGGTGGCAAACGTCAAGGTCCAGCCCGGGATGGCGGAGAACCCCGGATGCTAGCTGACTTTGGGCAGCTTCACTAAATTTGGTCAGTTCACAACATTCCAAATTGAAATAGTAAGCACGTATTGTTTCTTCTCTAGAAATTTTATCCTTGATATAGTCATAATCCAATTCGTAACGAATTTATAAAAATAGCTTTTTATCCAATAATTCCAGCAAGGTAAAAATAGGAGTTTCTTCTTATATATAGCAAATGAGACAGGCTCACCATGTCTGCGAGAACCTGGGCGCGGTCCAATCCGCACGCGCTCCCCATGGGCCACACGCACGCCCCCGCTGTGGGGCACCCGCCTCACACTGGCGGTTTTAAGGTGCAGGAGCTTCTTTCAAATCCATGGGCTGCACAAATAAGTCAGCCCACTGGGACCTGCTGCGACCACAGAACAAAACTAAAACTGCATAAATTTTTAGAAAATGGCAGCACTATCCCTTACTCTAGTCAGGGGCTCACGGGGGGCGTTTTGCCGTTCGTCACATTTTTAGCGTTAAACCTTTAAAGAATCTCCTTAAAAACCCGCGCACGCGCACACGCACACACACGCACACTGGAAAGAAGTTGCGGCGCCGGCGGAGGCGCCCTCGAAGCTCACTATGAAATACAAAAGTGCGCTCTTCTCCGTCTACATACAAAACATGTCATGTCAGAAATCAAAGTGTGTAAAATGTTTGCTGTGCAAACTGTAAACAGCCAGGCCCGCCCGCCCCGCGGCTCCGGGCTGCGCCGGCCCTACTGCAGGGAGTCACTGTTCTCCAGGACCAGCCCGCGGATGTGGGCGGGGGCGAGCGCGGCGCCGCCGTCCCCCGTGCTGTCCACAGACTCGTCCTCGCTCTGCTCCGCCATCATGACCTGCTGCACCGCCAGGGTGGCGCCGTCCGAGGACAGGGACTGCAGGCTGTCCACGTTCATGCTCACGGGCGTGGTGATCGTCACAACCGCTCCTGTGGCAGAACGTTCCAATCAGAGCCCGCGCTCACGCCCGGCTGGTGCCATCCGCTCCCCTGCCCTCGTGTTAAGGCCCCCGCGCGTGTCTCTGGGGCGCTCACCAGGGACCAGGAGGTGCAGCTAACACGCCGCCCGAGTTCTTGGTCTGCGGGCCGTCTGTAAAGGGCTATAAAGACGCGGGCGCACAGGGCAGAAGCAGGTGCGGGAGGGGACAGGAGACCAGGACACAGGAGAGGGACAGGATGAGGGGCAAAGAGACACAGGCAAAGGGGAACAGGTCAGAGTGAGGGAGGCCAGCTTGACTTCGACAAGGGGAACGAGGAGGACCCTAAGACACGCTGGTCCCCAGGAGCCCAGGTCGGGGAGCGGCACAAGCCAGCGGCACGGGGGGCTCGCACGCCCGTCCCTGATGGTCTCCAGAGCAGTGACAGTGCGGAGTGGCAGACTGTGGGAAACATCTGTAAAGAGACGCACTCACCCACTCCACCGCGCACCCCCCGTGTCACATGGCAGGCGCACTGGGAACGTGTGCAGGACCCTGTAGGGCTGGGGATGGTTTCTGGGGAAGATCAGGACCCACGTGGAGGAAAAGTTTACTTGTCACTGGGTAGTCTTCTTTGAACTTCTTCCCCAGTATACAGGCATTGTCTGTTCCAAGGCGGGAGGGAGGGAGGGACGCCTAACACCTTTGTAAGTGACGTGAATTAGAAGAGAAAACGAGAACTGAAAATGTAAATTACTTAAACCTAAGACGTCGGTGTATCAGAGCCCAAACGATGAAGCCACGGCTGGAAATGCACATATCACTCTCGGGAAACAGAATAAAGCGAGACGCACAGCCCGCCGCGAGGGGCCCATCGTCCCGTGGAGGAGGGGTCCGCAGGGGATTGTAGGACAATCAAGCCCCGGGGAAGAGCCGGCTGAAAAGATGGGAAGACGATGCCCAGGCCAGGCGGGGGGACATCCGAGGTCTCGCCTTGGCTGTGGGCGGTCTGCTCAGGACTGAGTACCCCCGGGTCACTGAACAAGGACCAGTCACAAAAGCAAGGGCACAAGAGGGTCCCTTCGGGGCTGGAACAGAGCTCAGGTGACGTGTCCCCAGCAAGGGGAAGTTCACAAGGCCGGGCAGCCACTGCAGGGTCACCAGCGGGAGAGCCACCCCCCACGGCGGAGGACTGGGCCACCGGAAAGCAGCCCGGGGCTGACAGATGTCAGGGCCAGCAGAGGACCTCAGAACAGTCGTTGTGACCGCACACTACGAGGGGGAGCCGTGTGGGCCATCAAAGATGGTCCCCAACCCCGGGGGATGAGCACCCCGACGTCCGCCCTGATACCCACCCATGACGAGCCGGGAGACAGCTTAACCACAGGAGGAAAGGTGAGCGAGGCCCAGACACAGAACCTATCAAAATGGAAACGAGAGACGGAACCCCGAACCCTAGGAAGAACAGCACGAACAGACGGGGACCTGGGGGTCCCGGAGGGGTGGGGGGAGGGCGTCAGAGACTGTATTTGGAGACGGGAAGGCCCCGAAGGTCCTGCAGCAACAGTACGCTGCTGAGAAGGCACAGGAAGAACGAGTGTGGGGGCGGTCTCGGAACACCGTGTACACGCACCGAGAAGTACGCACGCCCACACAGCCAGAGCCAGACAAGTCGTGCAAGCATGAAGGTGCTCATGGAGCACGCGAGGGTGCTGGGAGAGGGGCGCCGCCGAGGGGCAAGCGGGGGCCCACAGGGAGAAAGGGGCGAAGGCCGGGGGTGGGGGCGGGACAGCTCCGCCCGCGCTCTGAAGTCCAGGGAAACGGGGCAAGAAGGGCAGAACACACTGGACACTGGGCTTCCTAGACACACATGCCCGCATGTGTGTGTGTGCGCACGCCTGGCACCCTGCTCCACACACGATGCCTCCCTCACGTGTCTCACATAACACACCACAGCCGCAGCGACCCAAAGCTCACGGCAGCCACCATAGTTAGGGCCACCCCTGACCGCCGCCCCCGCCCCCACGGTCCGGCCCCCACCCTGTTCCTCTCCTGCCCCCACCCCTGCTGCCCCCAAGCAGCCAGGCCCTCCCCCCCCGCCTCTGGCCCCTCCCCCACGGCCCCCTTCCCCCCCATCCCTGCTCCTGAGACCCACCTTCCGACATGGCCAGCTCGCTGGGCGGTGGCTGTGCGGCTCCGGAGGCGATGGAGTCGGGCCAAAACCTCTGGACGGGTCTGTTCTGAGCCGTTTTCTTCTTAGTTTTTGGAGTTTCTGAGCAACTGGAATCCAACATGGGCTGAAGGATCCGTCTCCTGGCATTGATGAACCTGGGCGAGGGGCGACGCCGCGTGGTCACTGGGGCCGCAAGCGTCCCCGTGGAGGTGTCAGCCTCACCTTGGGTGCCTGCAAGCCTCTGCCCTGCCCAGCACATGGGGGTGGCAGGTGGGGCGCCGGGTTCCCCTGGGGTGGGGGCGGGAAGCGGCCACACCGCACACCCTGGGGTCCCATCCCACCCTGACCTTGTGGCGTGGACAGCGCCACTCGTGGTCACCTCCAGGCACGGCTCTGGGGGCAGACCCGCCACCCTTCACATGCTCACAACGGGCTCTTCCTAGGGGAACTAAGTTCCTAGGTCACTAACCGCCCACCACCACGAGGCCGCTCAGAACTGAGTCCCAGCCCCCCGGGGACCTGAGCCCTGACCCCGCACAACCACCACTGCGGGGACGCGTGGTCAGCAGGGCAGGCAGCTCGTAAATGTGGGGACGGAAAGCCCACACCCCTGCCGGCACCTGGGAGGGGGCTCTGTCTCCCCGGGCCCCCCACCCACCGTGACCCCAGCCTGAGGGATGCCCACAGCTGCCGGCAGGCTCGGAACGCACACTGCCTGGGACACGGCGGCACCGGCCCGGCCTCTGGGAGGACAGCGACAAGGGGCTCACACCCGGCTGCAGCCCAGCCCGCTGAGCCCCGAGGCGGGAGCCTGGCGGTAAGAGAAAGACAAGCACCCGTGGACACCGGGCTCTATTCGGTCCCGGCGCTGTGTGACCAGCCCCCGACCTCGGTGCCCCAGACGCAGAGCAGAGCTGGGCCAGGACCAGGGACAAGGGCACAGAACATTAATATCCTAACAGTCCCGGGCGCCTGCCTGGCCCGCTCGTGACCTCGGGTCGTGAACTTGAACCCCACGTTGAGGGTAGGGATTAATCAAATACAGTTTAAAAAATAAAATCCTAGCAGTCAAAACCATCTACAACTGCAAGAGGACACAGTCTAAAAACAGAAACAAGCGGCGGCGGGGGGGGGAGGGGGCACCTGAGGGGCTGTCGTTGAGCATCTGAACAACATCCGACTTCGGCTCAGGTCATGATCTCACGGCTCGTGGGTTCGAGCCCCCCGTCGGGCTCTGTGCTGACAGCTCAGAGCCTGGAGCTGCTTCAGATTCTGTGTCTCCCTCCCTCTCTAACCCTCCCCCGCTCACGTTCTTTCTCTCAAAAATAAACATTAGCAAATAATTTTTTTTAAAGTTGAGGTCAAACCTTCCAGATAGGACAGTTCTGCTAACAGAGTCAGGGAAGCAGCACCTGAAGAAGGGAGGAGGTGAACGGCAACAGAGCGTCCAAATGTAAGGAAGTGTGTCTCACGCTCACCCCCAACGACTGGCACTAACAGGACGCGTCACACGAGAGGACAGGAGAGAACGGGTGCTGCCAGGCCGTCGTGAACGTCACGGCGACAACACACACGACCCCTTTGTTCCCGCTCGCGGCATCTGAGAGATTTCACAGGCGATCATTCAGACAGCGCGGTCTGTGATCGGCTCCCAAACCTGAAATGGAGGCCCAACGGCAGGAGAGCAGTGCAGCGCGGCGCCTGAGCACACGGCCCGCACGCGCGGCCGCCTACGCCGGGAGACCCGTCACTCACGCTGGCGTGGAGCGGGCGCTGGGACGCGCGTTCTCTTCTCTTGTACACGTGCCCATCCTGTAAGCCGGACTCGGGTCCCGCGTGCGCATGTGAGCACGAAGGACACAAGTGACAGTCACACAAAGCGGAAGCGCCCCCACACCTTGGCGCCATTCCTGCCGGGGGCAGCCCCGATTTCAGGGGCGCGCACGCGGCCAGGGTGCAAGCGTCCCCGGTCGACTGTGACGCCCGCATCAGAACAGGATGCTCACTGCCCCAGGCCCGGGCCTCGGGGGACCCCGCGTCCTGCTGCGGGCGGGACCACCACCTGGACCCCCACTCAGAGCTCAGCAGAGCGACACGAGGCTCCCAAAGGCGGGAGAGCCGCGGGGGGGTGTGTCCCCAGAGGTCAGGAGGCCTCATGGCAGCCGTCACCCCCCAGAGAGGCTCGTCCCCGCAGACACGCCGCCCGCAGGAATGTGGGGGCTTGGGCGGGGGGCCAGTAGCACACGGAGAACCCGCGTCTGGCCACACGAGCAGCGTGCAGGCAGCGTCCGCGTGCAACCGGGTCGCCGGAGGCTAAAGCGTGTGACCTCTCTCAGCCTCCCGCCACCGGCTTCGGTGCCGACGAGAGTGCTGCTCGTTAGAGGAACTCAGGTATTTTCAACCGAATTTCACTGCTCATTAGCGTCCGTATCAAGGGTTCGATCCCGCTGGCGGGCACAGCTCGGGGTGCGTCTTACCAGTTGTTGACCTGGAGCAGCGTCAAGTTTGTCTGAGCAGCAATCTGCTTCTTCTCGTCCTCTGTCGGGTACGGGTGCTAAAGGGGAGAAGACAGGTTACCACGCACCTTGGTGTGGAAACAGGAGCTCAACCTTATGTAGGTGGACAAGAAACACACGAACAGTCCTCAGTGAACACTGCCGAGTAGCAGGGCGCCGGCGTCCCAGTCCTGATTTTGGCTCAGATCATGATCCCAGGGTCATGAGTTCGAGCCCCACATCAGGTTCTGACCATGCAGACCCCGCCCGTGATTCTCTCTCTCTCTGCCCCGCCCCCCGCATGCATGCTCTCTCTCTCAAAACAAATGTTAAAAAAAAAAAAAAACTGGTAAGCAGCAATAGTGCTTTCTGCTAAAAACCCTTTAGTCTTACAATTTTCTTCTAGAAATGTCCTAAACAGGGGCGCCTGGAGGGCTCCGTTGGTTGAGCGTCCGACTTTGGCTCAGGTCATGATCTCACAGTTTGTGGGTTCGAGCCCCGTGTCGGGCTCTGTGCTGACAGCTCAGGGCCTGGAGCTGCTTCAGGTTCTGTGTCTCCGTCTCCCTCTGCCCCTCCCCACTCATGCTCTGTCTCTGTTTCTCAATGATAAATAAACATTTAAAAAAATGTTTTTAGAAATGTCCCACATGGAACGCAGCACTGATGCAGTAGTCAGAGAGAGACGAGGGTGGGCAGAGACGGTCCAGAGGCTCACAGCCAGCACCACCGCCGCCAGGAGCTGCCACCACCGTAGGGGTCGCTGCCCTAACCACATGACACAAGCTGTAATTCAGGAACCTCCTCAGCGAGGACGTGTTAGGAGCACATGCCATGGACAGAGGGTGTGTTCTGGCCCAGCCACACAGCACGGGTACCACGCTGCACGTTCTACAGTAAACAGCGAACTCCTCAGTCACGTCTGCGACAGATGGCACTCGTCCCCATTCTACAGGTGAGGAAACTGAGGCAGGAGAGCACCCACACTCCCCACCCAACAGCTGGGTAAAAAGGGGGCTGCAGGGAAGGGGCAGGCAGGCCGTTCCGGGCCCGTCCCACGGGGCGACACGTTTCTGTCAGAGGACACTGACGAGGGGCCGCCCCACTAGGGCAGCGTGCGTGGTCAGCAAACTGTGCCAGCGCCAGGGACGTGCATGTCTGCCTCGTCACACTTTCTCTTGTGATTACTGCCCTTCACTTAAAAAAACAGAATTAAACCAGAAGGACGTATCAAAATCCACAGAAGTACCAAAGGAAATAATTCTACCTGCAGTAATGAAGTTTCTCCAGGATGGACTGCTGTCCACACGCAGACACCATCGAGACGTTTACTGTCAACCTTCAGGCACCAGGGTCCCTTGTTTTGGACCCCCCAGGACCCAGAGAGCACGGGAGACAGCAGGGGCTCCTGAGTAACATGCGGCGGCGGGACAGTCCCCGCACACTGCAGGGCCTCTGGCCTCACTCACCCCTGTGGCTGCTCCCTCAGACGGCAGTGAGCGCCCGCCCCAAGGTAGAAGTCGTGGAAATGCAAATACTGTGCTTGCCGGCTCAGGTCGTGAGCTCATGGTTCGTGGGTTTGAGCCCCATGTTGGGCTTCACACTCAGCACAGAACCTGCTTGGGATTCTCTCTCTCTCTCTCTCTCTCTGCCTCTCCCCATTCTCTCTCAAAATAAGTAAACTTAAAAAGTAATAAATAAAGGGGCGCCTGGGTGGCTCACTTGGTTAAGCGTCCGACTTCGGCTCAGGTCATGATCTCACGGTCCGTAGGTTCGAACCCCGCGTCGGACTCTGTGCTGACAGCTCAGAGCCTGGAGCCTGTTTCAGATTCTGTGTCTCCCTCTCCCTCTGACCCTCTCCTACTCATGCTGTCTCTCTATCTCTCTCAGAAATAAATAAAACATTAAAAAAAAAAGAAAGAAAAATAAATAAATAAAAAGCTCATAAAATCAAAAGGGGGCAGGAAACCTAAGTGCATTAACTAAAAGCAATAACAAAACAACAAAAACGAAGAGCCAGCGTACAGTAGTAAATGCCGTCCTCGAGTATCAGGAAGACCACGGTAGAGATGCTATTTCAAATAAATGAGGGCAAGAAGAGAGAGAAAATGCTTCATGGGGGAAAGAAGGAACATTTTACTTCAACCTATTGCAGGGTTTGTAGTTCCACAAACTATTACGACATTAAAGGAAACTTGAAAGGAAAATGCCTTCTGCCACCTGTCTGTACCGAACGGACTGCGTACTGGTTGTGACACCACGGTACCCTCAGAAGGGGTATGTCCCGCCCTCACTCGCTGCCACCTGCCAGAACCTTCCTAGCGCCCAGCCCTCGTTGCTGTGTCACAGTCCAGCAAAGGCGTGTGTCCTAAGCCACGCGCCCCGTCTTCACATCAGTATACCCAACATCACCGCGCACCCTCCTTTCCACGTGACTCTTTTAGGACATGTTTCCAGGTGGAGCCACACTGCTCAGAGTCCCCACTGTTCCCTCCTGACATGTGCTGCGTGTCCTGCGGGGGAGGGGGGGCAGTGAGCGGAGAACAGAACAGCAGAGCAGGAGAGAAGTGGGGGCCCTGCTCCCTAAGGGCCTTCCCCTCGGGAAAAGGAGAGGGTCCTGCCACCGCCCCCCACCCTCAGCGACACCACATGCCGGTTCAAAGCCTAGAGCCAGCTGCTACCTTGGCCTGCTGTAGCTCAGGGAAGGAGCCTGATGTCAGTCAGAGAAAGCGGGGCGCCACCCAGCAGTGACCAAGGCCAACCCCCAGAAGACATGGGATGACCGAGACAGACGCTGGCCTCGTGGCCCGCAGACCAGTGCCAGGCACAAATGGAGGCCGCGGGCCGGCAGCGGGCTTCCCAAACGATGGATGCAGAGGGAGGGCGTGAGGAGCCCTGGGTGCACCGGGCGCGGACAGGGACCCCGGGGCCAGGGAGGAAGCAGCCGCAGCAAACAAAGGCAAGGGGGGGGCGCCCGTGGCAGTGACACCAAAGGGCAGATCCAGCCCGCGGGCACAGCCATAAGGGACAGCATGGTGGTGGGGACGCGGGAGCGGGGTGTGTGCTCCACGGGGTGGGCGGGGGCTGTGGGAGTGGGGGGCGCATGCGCTCCAGTGAAAACAACCTGGATGAAGGCACCGGGCAACGAAGCTGGTTCCAGAGGTTGCCGGACAGCTCGCTGCTGACCTCCCGCCCCCCTGTCCCTCCTGACAACAGCCATGCTCCTCCTCCCACCCAGGCGTGGCTGTAACGTGGCACGTGGTGTCCACTTTCCCGCCTTGGTCTTGCCACACACTCCCCTGGTCACTCCTGGTCCCGGCCACCAGGCGGGACTGTCACTCCTGAAACCTTATCTGGGTCACACGCCTCCCCCAAGTTCAGGGGCAGGAGGGCGGGTCTGACCCGGATAATGAGCAGGTCAGCAAGCATGTGCTTCCCAAGAAGCATTGTCTTCCCATAAGCATCGGCTTATGGAGACGATGTGGCCGTGCCCCAGGTGAGGACATGGGCACAGGCACACGTGGACGGGCTGTGGCCCAAATCTGTCCCACGTGCTGACCCCTGTCCAGACCTCCGTCTTTGATCTTCCCACATCTTCTTTTCAAATCCAATATATAAAACATCACTGTTTGCCCAGGTTTTGCCCAAACTCACCTTCTGTCTCCCTCCTAACTGACCTCAGCTCACCCGTCACCCTCACGGGCAGCTCTGTCGTGCACGCATGGGATCGATATGAGCTGAGAGTGTATTCTTTTCACCAGTGGTGGCCTCTTGTTTGAGTCACTAGAGGCTGTGACCTCCGGTTTTAGGTAGCCCTCCTTCCGTCCCGCACTCCACCCCAACATTCAGAAGGGCAACAAAATGCCAAAACTTAACGCCGGGCCTGCGAGCGCAGACAGGAACACTGCTTCCAGGAGGCGCGCCAGGAAGCGGGCATGTCAGGGTGTTGCTGCGGGCGCGGCCACTTGCGTTCTTACCCCGATGTGCTGAAAGAGCCAAGATCTCATCACGTTGGTGGCGTGCTTCGGCAAAACGCCCCTTTTATTCTTAGATGAGCCATCATCTTGATGCAAAATGCTGAGATCTTGGTTTAACTGTAACTGAAGCTTTTAAACAATTGAAAAATAACGTTAGAAAGCACAGGAAATTATGACACATCCCAGCAGCTCAGGACTTCCGATGGAGAAAGTAACTGACGATCTTGGGATAAATGACCTACTGACAGCAGGGGCACACGCACCGGAAGGTGCGCAGGCTCCCCTGGCGGGGAGGGGGCTCCCTGGGCAGCAGCGCCACGGACACGGCTGTCTCGCCATCGGCGGCCCCTCATCCAGCGAGGAGGCGGGTGACACGGGCACCGACATGTCCCCGGGGTCATTCCCCTGCAGACGTGCGAACCCCACGGCCCTCTCACCCACCACTTGCTTTTGCCTTGCGTCCTCTGGTAACAGACGTGACAGAATACCGCTCTCCCAGCCTAGAGGGGCGGTCAGGACACCGACGACAAGAACGGGCGGGAAGGCTGAAGGCCTGGGGACCGCCACGTCAGCTCAGCAGGGGGCAAAGACACACACACAAGGAACAGATGGAAGCGTCATAGACCAAGGGGCTAAGGGGCCTGTGGCCCAGACATCTCCGCAGCCACGACAGATCCCCCCCCCCGCCCCCCAGGAGAGCATGGAACATAGCCTGTCC